TTTGTACGTATGAGGAACTAAACCCCCTTTAGCTAGGGGGTGATTCGAAATATATGTTTATGCTTGCAATATGATTTGATTACTTCTAATTACATTTCATAAGTTGTGAATTCAATTTGTTTAACTATTTGATTGATAACCTATTTATGTATGTTTATTAAGAATGAACGCTTAATTTTCATGCATGAATTTGAAGCTAGAATATAAGTGAGTTTCACGTAATAGTTACGAACTTATATTCACAAGTAGTGGAGGTTGCTTATAAACAATCGCGTTAAACAAATTCTTGGCATAAGTTTCATGCAATCATAGTAACGAATGCCTCGTCAACACTTATAGTTTTCATGATGCTTAATGATTCTTGCTTGTATCTCTATTATGCAATTCATGTAGGGAACTTGTGAGGAATGCTTTGGGTTGTCGTATGCAATCATCCAATTCATTAACTTAAGGAAAACTTGACGGTTAATTTAAGCGGACCTAATTAACCCGGAGCGTTGAGAATTCATGGTTTATTGAAAAGTAATTAGAAATCGTTTTGTATGCAAGTATAACATGTGTGGCGATGAACCCCTTAGCTAGCTTCCCATCCATTCATTTCCGTCAAATCCATATTTACAATTTGTTTTGTTTCCAAGTATCCATTTTAGTTTAAATTCGTCCAAATCCAATTCCCCCCTATTTCGTTGAAGTCTTAGTCTTAATCTTTCTTATTTTTAGTTTTGCATTCTTCGAGCATTAAATAGTGTTCTATATTGTGTTTTTACGTTTTTAAGTCAAATCCAAGTGATTAACAATCCCTCCTAATCCCCGGTCCAGAACGATCCCTACTTATACACTTCACTACAATTGACAAAAAGAGGGTTTAATTTGTGTGCGCATAAATCACGCATCCGTGTCGTGGGTTAAGTGGCATGGGTTTGGGTGCCTTAAGTATAAGGCAAGGCCTAAAAGACCTCGGGGGTGGGCAGCAGGCCACATAGGTGAAGGAGAAGCCCTAACCGCATCTGGGTTTCAGTTTGGGCTGAAGGGGGTGCACGAGATAGGGCCCAGTAGGTGTTGGCCTTGTGGGTGATGCACAGGGGAACAAAACCCAGCCCTATGGGCTAGAGTGTGGGTTCGAATGGGAGCCCAACCGCATAGGTTGGCTTCCTGTGCTACGAGCTGCAAGGAAACAAAGCCCAATCGAGTGGGCTAGCACCAGAGAGAGCAGGTCTGCGGGCCTGGATGCGTGCGGGACAATGACCCAGTAAGCAAAGCTTGCCGTGGGTTTGGTCTGGATCCATGAAGGCTGCATGCCTCCTCAGTGATAAAACCAGGGCTATATGCCTATTCTAATCAATTAAGCCGAAGGCCTAGGGGTCCAAGTAGGTGCAGCAAAGCCCAGAGGGCTGCTACTGATGTTGTGCCGCAGGGGTTGTGCCATCCAATGTCCAATTTCCCCTTTTTTTTCAAAAAAAAAAAAAAAAACCCTTAGGGTTTAGGAAACCCTAAATATGCTTCTAATTTATTTTATATAATTTGACTCACAAATTTCACATAAAAATTTGATTGTGTGATGCATGAAACAAATATATATATATATTGAAAAATATATGAACATATACAATATACATATATCGGAAGGAAAATATAAACATAGGGGGTTTATGCATCATGGGGAATGTTTTCATGCTTTGTGGATGTTTCAAATATCTTCCTTTATTTTAAGCGTACATGATTAACATAAAACGAATAAGCCTTTGAATGTGGTGGATGATAGCCTTTTCCTACGATGCATCAATTCCTCAGCTTCTGGCAAGAGCGTGCTGATAACGTGTTGTAAGCCTATTTGATTGATCGATCAAGGGTTTAGAGAGAGAGAGGGGTTCGGCAATATTGAGAGAGAAGAGAGATTGATTTAATTGTGAGGTATGTTTGATTCACCCCATTGTGCCTTTATTTATGGTAGTAGAAAGGGTAAAACCTTTAGGATTACAACATTTAATAGGTAATCTAATCCTACTAGGAATATATAATACTTTCCCAGATTCCCTAGGATTTACACAATCACATTCATATTCTAAATATGGCTGCAACAGCTTATTATTTTTATAATATACTATAGGAAAAGGATGAGATTAAAAAATTATAAAACACAATGAAAATAAAAATATCAAGTAATTTAAAAATACCAAATACATAAAAAATTATAATAATTAATTTACAATTGCGAAAAATGTGAAAAAAAAATATGCAAATGCTCGTGGTCGCATCTTTTACACTTTGAAGATGATTACATCGTCGTTTGAATTTTTAAAATCACACAAACCTTCATGAATAGTATTTTTAAGGGAGTTTAAAATAAATAAAATTCATAATCATTAATGTACAAGTCTGCAAAATGTGAAAGACTAATTTAGTATTATGTTTTCCATTTTCTTGGATCAAATTATGTTTTTCATTTTCATTATTTATGTGATAGCCCGTCCCAGACTTTTCGTACCGTAGGGGTGAAATGACGATTTTGCCTCTATCATGTTTGTTTCGTTGTGTGGTTGTTTTTAGATTTTGTTTGGCTAGTTTTGGACCACACACACTCTCTCACACCCCCTCACCTTTTTCCCTGTCTCGTATCCCTGTCCCTTTCCCTCTCTCTCTCTCTCCCATTTCTATCCCCATATGTACGGACACACCCAAAAATCATTGAAACCTTCACAGATCGAGGAAACAAATTACATATTCGTACTCGTGAGGTCTGTAGGAGTTCAACCATACCTATTTCAGGTAAGGATACCTTCGTTTTCACGTCGAACTCGGGATACCCCGATTTGGTCACTGTTCATGCACACGTTAATTCTTGTGTTTTGGGGAATTTCAAGCTTGTAGGAAGCTTGGTGAGGTTCTTAGGAGGCTCAGGGTGGTTCGTTTGAAGGTTTTGGACGTCGGGATCGTGAGTTACAAGCTTGGCCGGAGTTGGTGGTGTTTTCCCGGCGAGATTCCGTGGGTTTTAGTGCTTGAAAGTGGTATGGATTTGTTCCCCTTGTTGTAAGCTTCATTTTGGTACCAATTTTGTGAAATTTGGTTGAAAAATGAAGAAGATACAAGGTTTTAAAGTTTTCCTGGTTTTCTGGCGCCGACGACGGTGCCAAAGTTTGGCCGGAGAAGATGACGGAATATTCCGTCAGTTTGGACAGAATATTCCTAACGGCGTTAACGGCATCAGTTAGATTTAACGGAATATTCTTGACGGCATTAACTGACGCCGTCAGTGTGCCAGGCATGTGCCTGCGCGTGGGCGGCACGTGGGGGCGCGTGCGGCGTTGGAAAATTTTTCTAAAAATATGGGGATGTTCCTGAGGTTGAGTAGATCACGTTGGTGTATTCATACACCCCATTTGAGCATTGTATGAGAAGTTATTTCGTGATGTTGGTTATGTGTTTTAAAATTAACGTTTTTATAGTTATTTCGCATATAGGTGAGACCTATCCCGAGGACGAGCGCAGTCACTCGAGGCAAGGGGGTTATGACCCTTCTACATACCAATGAGTGGGCTTTTGGTTTTCCGTATATACCTATATACTTACGTTTTTCCCAGAAAGTGAATGGAAACGTTTATACATTTATATGCCATGCATTATGTTTGCCGTTTGTTTATGTATTATTAGTAGCATATATATGTTTGTATGTTGGTGCTGCGGGCGCACAGGTAAGTGCCAGGTGAGTATGGTTTATGTTTATGTTCAGTAGTGATTTGAGATGCATAGAGAGCTCATAACCTGTACCCCCGGTGTTAGTGCTCCCGCCCAAAGTTGGGCACAGTCTTTCACGTGATGTTCACCTCCCGCACCACACGCTCATCTTGGATCCAAGTTAGGTGCACAATCCTGTCGTACAGACCACTTTAGGTGGTTCCGACTCGTAGGTGACCCGCGATTATTCGCCCAGCCTTCATGTGATCGTAGCACTTGAGCGTACTTATTATACACCCAGTCCTATCGTACAGACCACTCTAGGTGGTTCCGACTCGTGTGCAGGTATAGTTAGTAAGTTGGAGATTTGAGCTCTAGATTCAGCCGTACAGGTCACATTAGGTGACTCCGGCTGACAGATTACATGGCATTGATTTGACATTTCCTGAGCACTTGCATTCTATTTAGAGACCTTTGACATGGCATATTTCCGAGCATGATTTATATATATGTATATATCCTATTTTTCTGGGAAGTATACAGGTTTTACGGCGAGGGGTTAGAACTTTGTTTATGAAATGGTTTTTGAAAAACTTTGTTTTTGCCTACTCACACTTTCTGTTTTGCGCCCCTCCAGGTTCTAGTTGGCTAGCACTTTGGTGGCTCCCCAGAGGATTTCCCCGGCATATCTGACAGATTATCACCAGTGTAGGACCACCTTTGGGTGTGTTTTTGTAGCGTTGTTTCTCCCGGATTGCATTAGGTCTTCGTACTCTGAACTTTGTTTTCACACTTACGCTTGCACATGTATGTTCTTGCGTTGTGTATAGCTGGTTTTTATTTATTCGTACTTTTATTATTATTTTATTAGCTTCCGCACTGTGCACATGGTTACGTCACTTCCACGTGACGCCCAGCATGTCCTGATCTCAGTCAGGGTGTGTCAATTTATTGATGCAAAATATTTTATTTTTACGGGTAACGGGTTATGTTAAACTACCTAATAATATTAATGGGTCAATTTTGGATCGACTCATATTACCCGTTTACTTTAACGGGTATTATACGATACGACCCGTTAAGATATTGAGTATGTCATGAAAACGACACAAATGCCATATCTAATTGCATCGATAAAATAACTTTTAAAATAAAAGTTCGACTCTCACTTTTCATCTAATTTTTTATTTCTTTTAAAGGAGAAAGTAGTCCTACCCACCAACCCAACGACTCGGAGCATGAGGACAGATAAAATCAAAGAGCCAATCGACCGTTTGCGCCAACGGGCGCGTGGTCAAATCAAATCAAAGTGACTCATTGGGACACCCAACAGCCATCTGTCCATTTTCCAAATCCAAAGGAGAGGCAGCGATTAAGCTGTCATCCGAAAATGCCGCACCCTCTCTCTCTCCCAACTTCGCCACCGCTCTCCTCGCATTCCCACGCTTCAATTCCCGGCATGTCCTCCGTCACATTCGGCGGCGCCTCCATCACTTCTCGCCTTGTTCCCTCCTCCTCCGCCAGAACCTCCCTCTCCCACTCCTCCTCCTCCTCACTCAAGCCCCTCGGCTCCGCTCCCCTCGTTTCCCAACTCTTCCTCAACCCCAAACCCCGCTTGTTGCCTCACGCGGTTGCCCGACCGTACAGCCGAGCCGCCGCCCCCAAATGCCAGGCTTCCGACCCGGAGCAGCTAAAGCTCGCCAGAGAGGACATCAAAGAGCTTCTCAAGACCACTTTCAGCCACCCAATACTCGTATCTCCCTAACCCCGATCCGTACGTTTTCGTTTTCTGAAATCGTCGGGAAGTGTTAAGCTAAAGTGAAGAACTTTTCTTCTTTTTGTACAGGTTCGGTTGGGATGGCACGATGCTGGAACTTACAATAAGAACATAGAGGAGTGGCCGCAAAGAGGTGGGGCAAATGGAAGCTTGAGGTTTGAGATTGAGCTCAAGCATGCTGCGAATGCAGGTAATTGATATACCCAGTTGCTAATTATTGTTCAAGTAAGTTTGTAATCTTTGTGCAGACCCGAGCGTAATCAAGTTGGCTATCCAAGTTGGAATCTCGCTTCCTGTAGTTTAGTTTAGAATAAATTAGATTGTCGCCCGAATGTCAATTATGATGAGCGTTCGTTTCACGATTTTAGGTCTTGTGAATGCATTGAAGCTCGTTCAGCCTATAAAAGACAAGTACCCTGGCGTCTCATACGCGGACTTGTTCCAATTGGCCAGTGCTACTGCTGTGGAGGTGATTCTTAGTCTTCCTCTAACATTTGTATGAGTAAGTTTTGTAAATTTATAACAAGTTCATTTCACTGATTGAGATCGTTTCCTTCTTCAGGAGGCAGGGGGGCCGAAGATACCAATGAAGTATGGGAGGGTTGATGTCTCGGGACCCGAGCAGTGCCCAGAAGAAGGGAGGCTTCCTGGTTAGTAAAGCATGTATATTTTTCTAAATGGTTTTGATGACAAACATGGAGTTTGGAATTGTTTCGGTGAAAACAGTATTCCTTTTTGCTCTTTATTCGTTTTGAAATACTTGTCTTGGCTTTTTTAGATGCTGGCCCTCCTTCGCCTGCTGATCATCTGCGTCAGGTTTTCTACCGAATGGGGTTGAATGACAAGGTGACTTTTAAGTACTGTATACTTAGTTTCTGGACAATACAAGGCGCATGCTGAACCTCTTTGATGATGTTTACTAATGAACTTGTTTGATCTGTAGGAAATAGTTGCATTGTCTGGGGCACATACTTTGGGGAGGTCAAGACCTGATCGCAGTGGTTGGGGCAAGCCAGAGACAAAGTACACGGTATTGAATCTGAATCTCGTATTCAATTAAGCCACTCTAACAGAAAATGGTTCTGTTGAAGTGCCTTGAGTAAGATATTTTTCATTCCGTTTCCTCAATCAGGTTTTGAAATTTTAGGACAACCAGATTATGAGCATACAGAGTTGATTAAGGTTTTTGTAGGATGTTATTATGTTATCTTTACCCACGTGGTTATATATTGCAGCAGCTACGATAAACACAGTAATGAATGATAAGTATTGCTACAATAACTAGAAAGTAAACTAGCATTATTTTCATGGCAGAAAGATGGGCCAGGGGCACCAGGAGGACAGTCTTGGACAGCACAATGGTTGAAGTTTGACAATTCCTACTTCAAGGTATTTGAATAGTATCCTTATTTGCATGTGACTTCTCACACTCCAATTGGAGGTTGGTGGGAATTGTACAAGGTTTTCCTTTACTCACTCAGCGGCTGTTCTATACAGGATATCAAGGAAAAGAGAGATGAAGATCTACTGGTGTTGCCAACCGATGCTGCTATTTTTGAAGATCCAGCATTCAAGGTAAAACAAAACAAAATTGAGAATGATTCTGTTCGATGAGTATCCTTTGTTACATTGAGAGTTACATGATATGCAGGTGTATGCTGAGAAATATACCGAAGACCAAGAAGCCTTCTTCAAGGATTATGCTGAAGCTCATGCTAAACTCAGCAACCTGGGAGCTAAATTTGATCCACCAGAGGTTTGCTAGCCTTCAATATCTTTGTTGTTTCTGTTAGGGATTATCCATTCCCAGTGAATGATTAATGTTAACTAATGAAAACTTGATTCCTACTTCGGTTTTTGTGAAGAAAAGAAATGGTTCGCCGTTGTTTGGCCTGTTAACCTTAGACTCTATTAAATTTGATGATCAGGGTATTGTGATCGATGATGGTCCTTCACAGCCTGTACCAGAAAAGTTCGTGGCAGCCAAATACTCATCTGGCAAGGTTGTACACACGGAAAACTCACAACTCTTAATCAAAATTCTTTTTGTCAATAATTTAGCAAATCCCTTGCATCTGTGAGGATTGATGACAACTCTAGGAAAACTTTTTGCGTGCAAAATTTTCATGTTCTTCATTCATATGGTTTTCTGCAGGAGTAAAAAGCAAGTGTCATGCTTACTTGTGCCATCTGTTTTAATAATACAAGATGAAGCTATTTTGAATAATCAAATGTAATAGTTGGGAGTCTTAAATGAAGAAGACGGAATAAATTCAATAGTATTACCTATGTGAATTGCAGACAGAGCTGTCAGATAATATGAAGCAGAAGATTCGAGCAGAATATCAAGCTATCGGTGGAAGCCCAGATAAGCCTCTGCAGTCTAACTATTTTCTAAATATCATAGTTGTGATTGGTGTTTTGGCAATTTTGTCGTCTTTATTCGGAAACTGAGCTTTGATTTTCTGTTTTTCTGTTTTTCTGTTTTTTATAAATGAGAATTACATTGCTATTATCGATTTTATATTACATATTCATCCATGATTCGTACAATATCAGTACTTGCACACATTCTTTCTTTCACATCAGAGTAAGTTAAGCTTTTGAGAACAGCATGTCATTGAAAACTCATGTTCAGGTTACGTTGCAAGGTGATGTCCAAACCAGGTTGAACTAAAATTTGTGGTCAGGAGCTGTATCTTTGTCCATTTGTTTTCACCTATGAGGAAATGTATCTGATATTTTGAACATTTCTGAATCTATCAGTGGCTATGATTTATGCATTTTTGGAAGAGATGTTTCTCTTAGTCTAGTTGTGCAACTTCCTTTACTGATATTTGGAAAATGTCTTGAGTTTGAATCTTCATCCCTAGTTTAAAATGGACCAAACTCTTTATCGAGAGGACCTGTCCAGAAATATTGAAGCAATCTGAGCTCCAACCATAGGAGAGTGTATAGCTTATTCCTATTTGAGCCACAGGGTGGGTCAGTGTGACGGTATTTGAAACTAATAATGCACTGTTATATGCGTTAAATATATCCGGGTTTAGGCGAGTCCTCCGGTTGTAGGGCTTATTCCTATCTATTTTAGACGCTTGAAAGTCACTGATTCCTATATATTGTTTTCAGCTTGACGATCAGATTTAATAGAAATTTGAGGGTTTTAACTTGGAAGCTGATTTTGCACACCATTTTGTGCATTCCACACATATTCCTCTTTTTTTTTTGTCATTTGGTTGAATAAATCAAACAAAAATAACAAATAGAATTAAACGTGAGTATGTTGGAGGAGAGAAAGGTGTTGGATTATGACTTTGTTGTTTTTTTGACAATTGGTTTCATGGTTGGAAAGCTAGAATTTTGTTTGGGTTTTGGATTAGATATGCGGGGTCCAACTCTAAGGCAATGGATTGTGGCTTTGTGACCAACTGGAAAGGATTCCATCACGAGTGGGGTTGGAGTAGATTCCAGTTTAAAGTCATGATGGGGAGGATACCAATGTTTTATTAAGGTTGAATAAGGGTTACTGGTAATTATTGGGTGGTACGTTAACATGATATAATTATTAGGCCCAATTGGATAAATAGTATGTGTGGTCACAAAGTATTCAGAAGATAGCATTTGTGGTAAATAAAATTCGAATTTAAACCATTATGGTGAAATGTGTTAGGCTTGATACCCAAAATTGAAACTTTCGTTGTTCCTCCGTTAGTAACCTGCACGTGAGCTTTACGTGTGAGACTAAGATGGTCATCTCATCTCTTTCATAGTTGTCTCCAGTCAGAAGCAACTACGGAAGAGATGAAACGGAAGCGACTGGGCAGGTCATCGAAATGAAGAACCTCAAGGGCCTCTTCATATGAGTGCCTTCAACTTGGAAAACTCAAGCATTGAACGTCCAATGGCGAACATACCACCATCAATCTGGATTTTGCCAACCATTATGTGAAAAGATGCGACTAAAATTCATCAAATAGATTTCCTCGTTGTTTACTAAATCTATCATCTCATACTCAGCTTAATTCCGATAAAAATGTATTCAAATTGCAATTGGCTTCCAAAAACAATATGTTTGAAATTATTCGTCTTTAATTTGTAATTGAAACAACAATCCTGCTAAAATTGACTACTCATGCCGAAGAAAAGCCGAGTAAAAACACAGCATAAAAGTAAAAAGGCCAGCTATGAGAACCGCCTGCCGCCACTGGCCAAGATCAATCAATGTGAGAACCGCCTGCTGCCATTTTTGCTAGGCCATTTAGCCTATCCTCATTTCTCTTAGTTTTATAGCATAGTATGTTAAACTATATATATTGAGAACTGTTATTAGTGCTCCACAAATCTCATTTTACACTCTTTACAAGTGTTTTTTTTTTTTTTTTTTTCTAATTATAGAAAATTTGGAGTACAAAATGAGATTTTTGGAGTGCCAATAACAATTTCCTATATATATATATATATATTATTTTAATCAAATAAAATTAATTCGGTTGTGTGATTCAAATTTAATGCCAAGTTCAAAGACTAACACCTATACATTAGATTCTAAAGAATGAATGAATTATCAATAAACCAATAAATTTCACCAGTAAAAATGAACTAATAATTTTTTATATTTGGCATTGTTGCATAGGATCATGCTCTTCTAATATAACAGATTTTACTAAAATTAAGACTGACTCGATCCATAGGATTTGGTTTTCCAATTTATTTTGTCTGAAGCGTATGATCCCAAGTTCCCAAGCATAACAATTTTCTATCTAGCTAGCGTTTCACCACAACAATCAATATCTTATCAATTAAAGTCATGTTTGGTGGGCAGGATGAGATAAGTTATATCCAATTAAATTGGACTTATAGCCCATCTAATGTTTGGTGAAAAAAATTGTAACACGGATTGGATTGGCTACAAATCCAAAATAAGGGAAAATATGATGTGTTATGTAACACAACCATACACATGAGTTATGTAACTCATCCATGCAAATCCAATCACATCCCTAGGGCCCAATCTCATCTAACCCATCAAACAGGCCCTAAATCTAAATGTACAATATGCTTGGCATACAAACCTTAACTTTGTTGCGGTCTATATTTAACTGACAAGGGAGAGAGAGGGCACGGCAGAGAGAGAGTGTGTAGAGAGAGATGTGTTTGTAGGGTTGTATAGATGATGTGTTATTCCCCCTACGCAATGCCTTTATTTATAGTAATAAGGGAGGGAATAATCCTTCTACTCCAAGGAATACAAGTCCTAATAGGGAATAACTAGAATAAAATCTAATATAGGATTTACACAATCATACTTAAATACAAAGTTTATAACACTCCCCCTTGAGTGTGTAAATACTCAAGTAGATTTGGCATTATGTAGAGTTGAGGAAGTCGACTTGTCGGCACTAATTCAGGAAACACGCTAGTTTCAAATAGGGTAGGAACTTGCATATGGAACTAAGTCTTACAAAAAAAACCAATGGCTATGGCAAAAACCCGAGTAAGGACAAAATCCATAGTCTAAGGAAAAATGCGTGAGAAATGCAAAATCAAATGAAACGTCTACTGGACGTCATCAGAGATATGATCAACCTAAGATGGGTGCCTCATCAAAACCTCGTTAGGTAACAAAAACCCAAAGGAAAATATGCTTCTAATCGTAGGGAAACGAGTACATTAAGATCAAGGAAGTATACTTCAGGGTACTCCCCCTGAGTTTGACATAATTCCAAAGAGAACTAAAAATGTTACAACGCAGAAAGTTAATGCATACCTATTCCTTGAACAAGCTTCTGAAACATCGCATTCGATAGTGATTTGGTGAAGAGGTAAGCCAAATTGTCTTGTGAATGGATTTGCATGACTTCAATCTTCTGATGCTGTTGCTGTTGATGTGAGAATAAGAACTTCAACACAATGTGCTTGGTCATGTCTCCTTTGATGTAACCCTTCTTGAGTTGTTTGATGCATGTTGCGTTGTCTTCGTAGATTGTCATCAAGACATTAATGATGAGGTAAAGATTGTAGGAGCTTCGAATATGGCCCACAACTGCTGTCAACCAGAAGCATTCTCGAGTTGCTTCGTGTAAGGCGAGAATTTTAGCATGGCTAGACGAAGTGGCAACTAAGGTCTGTTTAATTGACCTCCACGAGATTGTGGTGCCTGAAACCGTAAAGACATAACCTATTTGAGAATGCACCTTGTGCGGATCAGATAAATATCATGCGTCAATATAACCAACAAGGCGAGAATTAACTTGAGATAAAGGGGTACGGCATCACTCGAGGATCCGTAAGGATAGAACAAATTCATATCAGTAGTACCCTTAAGGTAACGAAAGATGTCTGTAACACCAATCCAATGTCTACGTGTTGGTGCATTACTATATCTGGCCAAAAGATTAACAGTGAAGGAGATGTTGAGTCTAATGCATTGAGCTAAGCATAATAAAATGCTTATCGCACTTAGATAAGGAACTTCAAGATCCAAAATCTCTTCATCATCTTTCTTCAGAAGGAAATGATCTCGTTTTTCATCTAGCGATCGAACGACCATAGGAGTACTCGAAGGGTTCGCTTTATCCTCGTTAAAGATGCATAACACCTTCCGGGTGTTGTTCAATTGATGTACTAAGATTCCATTCAAACAGTGCTCTATCTCGAGACCGAGACAGTATCGAGTCTCTCCTAGATCTTTCATCTCAAATTTTGACTTAAGATGCACGTCAATTCTCTTGAGCTCTTAAGGAGTTCCGATGAGGTTCATGTTGTCGACATAAACTACAACAATCGAAAAACTGGAATGTGACTTCTTAATGAACGCATAAGGGCATAGTTCATTGTTCACATATCCCTGACAAGTCAAATACTCACTCAGACGGTTAATCACATTCTTCCAAATTGCTTTAAACCATAGAATGAATGCCTCAGCATAATTGAGAGCGTGTTCTGGGGTTTGAAAATATTTGATCCAGTTAATGTAAGTCATTCGGGAAATTTCATATAGATTTTCGTATTAAGATCCCTATAGAGATACGCAATTACTACATCTATTAGCTGCATACTCAGTTTTTCAGAAACTACCAAACTGATAAGGTTGCGAAAAGTAATCACATCCATAACGAGTGAATAAGTTTCGTCATAGTCAATCCTAGGGCATTGTAAGAAGCTTTTGCACAACAAGACGAGCTTTGTAATGCACAATTTTGTTCTTCTCATTACATTTCCGAACGAAAACCCACTTGTGGCCAACGGGCTTCACATGTGGAGGAGTGGGAGCTATAGGTCCAAACATCTTAAGTTTCGCAAGCGAATTAAGTTCGACTTGGATTGCTTATTTCTAGTTTGACTAATCAGTTCTACGTCGACATTCATCAACGGAATGGGGTTCAATGTCATCGCTTAACATGATCTCAGTAGCTATTGCATATGCTAATGCATCGTTGATGACAATCTTATTTCTACACCAAACATCATCCAAGCTAGCATAATAGACCAAAATCTCTTAATTCTCGGGAGGTGGATTCTTCTCATCAAGGACGCTTCTGTAACCTAGAATT